GCGGCTGGTTCTGTGGGGCGGGGGGCTTGGTGGGACGAGCGCGCGGGCAGCGATCCTTGGAAGGGCTAGCGAGTCGGCGAAGCTCGCAGCCCGCCGCCCGACCAGCGAGAGCGCGCTCGCGCGGCGATAGCCAGGGCTGGAATCGGACAAGGGGCCTGCCGCGCCTGCCTCGCTGAGCGAAAGCGTCCGCACCAACGGGAGGCGTCTCAACGCGGCAGCGGACGCGACATCGTGCCCCAAGCTCCTTGAGTTTCCTACTTCTCGTGGATGGATACGGCCGCGTCCTTGCAGTTCCCCGCATGGCGCCCTCCCAGGGGCGTCCTCCGGGTGGCGCGCGCCCAGTCTTTGGAGCGGTGCGGGGGACAGCGACTGCGTCCTCCTCTCCGCAGCCGCCCCCAGATCATGTTGGCGACTATCCCTGCGCGGAATTCCTGGCGGTACGTGCCTTTGCTCCGTGCCGCGGCGGGCATGCTGCAGGCGGAAGCGGCTGCCCGTTCACGCACTTGCGGCCACCGCTGGCGGGCTTTGGTCGCCGCCCTACGGGCGCACGAGCCCGTGCCAGCGGGCGCTTTACACGCCATGTTCCTCACCATCGCGACAGGCAGCGCCGACGCTGCCTTGGGCGGGCAAGATGTCGCGTCCTTGAGACGCCTCCCGTTGGTGGCAGTGGCCGTGCAGGCCGCCACCCGTCAGCAGACAGTGGAGCCCATGCAGCCAACTTTGGCGCACACTCTGCCCCAGAGGACTTTGGCGCGGACCGGCTCGCGCCACCGCGCGCTCCCGGATACCACGCGCGTTTTGGGAAAGGGTGGACAGCATAGACCTCCCGCTAGAATTCGCCAGGCAGGCGCCGGTGCTACGCAGCGTCCCACGCTTTTGCAGCCAGCGTTCAGGGAGGCCTTGACATTTGCTCTTCAGCAAATCCCCCGTGCAAGCTCTGAGGCCGCTCGCGCTCGCGCGTGGAAATCGCTCCTCCTTGCCGCACGGTTGTTGCTGGCACGTGGGGGGGCTCAAGGCGAGGTCGGACGTGACGAAACGAGTCGCAGAGTTCTTGGCTGGCCGCTGGATGCCCCTGTTGGAAGGCGCGCGCGGGCTGGCAGTCGCGGCCGGCGCACGCCCAGTGCGGCGAGCCGGTGCCGAGGGGAGGTGCGAGCAGGCCCGTGCACTGGTCCGCCGCGGAGAGCTCTCTCGTGCCAAGCAGGTGCTCACCAGCGCCCAGCTTGCCCCAGGCAACGAGCAGACGTTGCGTCTGCTCACCGACGGAGCGGCGCCTCGCCCGCAGCGTGGCGCGCTATTCCTGAGGAAGTCCTCGCTTTCCAGCCGGAGGCTCCCACGACCTTGTCGGCTGAGGAGGTTGGTGCAGCGCTCCAGACAGCGCGACGCGGCACGGCGGCCGGGTTGAGCGGCGCGGCGCCACTGCCGAGCCTCTTTGGAAGCGTTTGCGGAGGTCGCGACCCTACTGGCCCGTGCTGAGGTGTTGGGGGAAGCGCTGCAGGCAATGGCGCTAGGCTCACGGCGCTGCAGAAATCCAATGGAGGGGTGAGAGGCATTGCCACCGGTGACGCGCTGCGACGGCTTGTGGCCCGCCCTCCTGGCATAAAAGCGACAGCAACGGACGGTGGCACCGTGCGCAGCACATGGTGCGAGCGAGGGGCTGCGCACTGGGAAAGCAGCAGCCACGCGCACTGCAAGTCAGGCAGCTCCGGCAGCTGCTGCAGCAAGTCCTCTTCCGCCCGGGCGCGCTCGCCGCCATGAGCGGCAACAAACTTGGCCGACCCCAGGGCGCTGCCTAGCATGAGGAGGCCTCGCTCAGCCAGCGGCTTGTCCGCGCGCCACACGTCGGGCCCTAGCACCGCTAGGACTGCGGGAGCCGGGCCGGGCGTTGCCCTGTACACCCTGGTCTTGGCAGCGTTGGTTCTGCGACGCTCTCCTGAGCGGCCCGGGCACGAGGCGCGCGCGTCGTGATATACAGGTCGTCAAGGAAGGCAGCCACTCCGCTTGCACAGCTTGTAGCGCATCATGCACCGCCAGCGCGAACAAAGCAGGAGCCCGGGCAACTCCTTGCTCGCAGCCTTCACCCTGCGAGATCCTGTGGCACGCCCTGCGTCGTCCCACCACAAGAATGTGGATGTGCGCGAATAAACGCTGCGCGCAAAGGGGACTACAGAGGGCGAGACCTCGGCCAGCTTGCTGAGGAATGCCGCGAGAAACAGTGTCATACGCGCAGAGAGCGAACTGGAAGGGCCGGGTAGCGTTATCAAAGCGAGTGGGACCGCGCGCGCGCCTTGGCATCCCTGCCCGTACGTGGGCCTGACGCCTGCCACGCGGCTCAGCCCTGCCGCCGCGTTTGGGTTGCGTGGGCTGACGCCCTCCCCGTCATTCAGGGCCGCAGATGCCGCGCAATGCGTCCGCGCCTTGGATGAGGCAGCGGGGGACTTCAGCCAGTGCCTGGCTGAGGCGGCAACCGCACGAGACGTGCTAGTGCTGGGCGGACTTGCTCGCGGGCGGCCAGCCGCCCGGGCTTTCTGAGGAACCCGAGCCAGGGGAAAGGCGCCAGGGTTGGCAGCGTCACGCAGCTCTCTACCTTCATTCCGTTTTCCGAGAGCGCGACGTTTTGCCATTCCTCCGCACCCCAGACCTTGCTCTGCTGCGCTCACAGTCCGGCGCCATCCGCCGACCCGGGCGCGGTCCTGACTCCGGAGGCCATGCAGCCTCCGGGCGCTGGCACGTCCGAGTGGTCGAGCAGTCTGGCTAGGCATGATGCTTCGGCAAATTGCGCCGTACTGGCTGGGGGTAGGACCGTTGTTGCATATTTTTCCCTGTCTCCGCACGTCGACGAGGGTGGCTGTGGCTCAGCGGGAGCGGCAACCGCAGCCGTCGCCGAAGGGCAAGCAGCTCAATTGCCTCTTCGTTTGGCGGCTTGGGTTTGAGACCAGCCGCTACGACCGCTCATGCCGCACACTGGGCGTCCTGGGCCGACACGCTCCCCGTGATAGGCGAGCGACATCCCCTGCTCTTGGCTTCCCTCTCCAAGAGTTGACCGAGCCCGCCGGGGCCATGCCCGGCCGGCCGTTGCGGCTGCGCGCGCTGCCGCCGCTGCCCTGCAGGACGCGGGCTTTTGGTGCCGGGGCGGGCGCTTGCAGAGCACCCACGCGTGGGGCGACATGGCAGTCATCGACCACAAGGCCCTTGAAACGCTATTCCGTGAACTTGATTCAGCTTGGGCCTTGGTGGTTGTCGCTGGGCCAGGAGGCAGCGTTGCTTTCACCACCTTCCCGTCCAGGGAAGAGTTCTGGCTCACAGATGCCGTTTTTCGCACGCTGTTGCGATTGCCGCTGCCTGCGGCCCCCTGGCATTGTCGGTGCGGGGAGCCGCTGCACGTCCTCGGCGACCACAGGGCCGCCTGTCCCACAGCGGGAGTGCTGAAGCTCGTTCCCCCTCGAGCGTGCCGCGGCTCGCGTCTGCTTTGCACAAGGCCGGGGCGCGTGTCGCGACCGATGTCTTCCTCCGCATCCTCAACCTCGATGTGCCGCTGTGCGATGGGCGCCAGATCGAGGTCGTCGCGAATGGCCTGCCGGCTGTTGGCGGCTCCCAGGTTGCCGTTGATGTCACGCTGGTATCTGCCGTGCAACGGAACGGAGTTAGCCGGCCCGGCAATGACGTCGAGCCTGGCAAAGCCCTTCGCGAAGCTGCGGAACCTACCCGGAGCTCGCCACTGCCAGCCGGTGCCGGTTTGCCGTGCTTGGCCTGGAGGTGGGCGGGCGGTGTTCGGCAGAGACTGAGGATTTCCTCGCTTGCTTGGCGCGTGGAAAAGCCGCTGCGGCCCAGCCAGCCAGCGCACGGCTGCGGCCGGGGCGTTCACACGCCGCTGGGGCCAACTGCTCGCGATTGGTGTTCAAGGCGCATTTGGCGTGAGCCTGCTCGAGTGCCGCCCTTTGGCGACGTGCTTCTACCCAGGATCCGGCAGCCAGCCGCAGCGGCCTGACATGCCCAACCAAGCAGGCCGGAGCACCGATGAATGTAGGCTGAGCCCAGGGCAAGCTGCAAGGCTGCAGGGCCTTGGCCCGAGCAAGCAAGCGCAAAAACTTCGGAACTCTGTCGCTCGCGGCACGCGTGCGCTGGAGCGGCCCACCGCGATGGTCGAACTGGCCATGGCAGGCGCTTGCGAGATGGGACTTGGAACTAACACCTGAACATGCATGCCAAGCTGGGAACGGCAAAGCAACGTCGTGTAAAACACAACGATGCGAAGAAATCTACAGCAATGCTCGGGGAATATTTTCTGAATCGCTGGGAGGGCAGCAGGCTGCACCAGGAGGACCGCGCTCGCTGTGGACTATCTCATAGTCTCAGGAATCAAGCCCCAAGGAAGACAAGAGGTCATGCCAAACTTTGAAGACATTCCAAGATGGCCCTAAACATGGGCGGTGTATCAAACAGGAAATTGCTTCCACCACAGTTTCGTACAGCAAAGCGAAATGTGCTGGCAAATCAACTGATTCAATCCAGAACTCAATGTCACCTTAGGATGCGCTGCTATTGTCAAGCTTCCTGAGACAAACGTGCAGTGGAACAGGCATACACCGGGCCCCATGGAGCTCGAATGATCCGAGCAAGCAAATGTGGGTGGCCCACGATTACCCAAAAACCTTGGTTGGCAGAGTTTAAGGGGTGGCGCCAAGAAGGGGACGAAGGACGCAGCTGCGCCCCGGGCTTCGTCCTTTGCAAGTGTCACGAAAGTTCAACAATATTGGTGTTCTTGTGTTTTGACAAACCTGCAGGTCGTGGCACAGCTGAAGGTCGCGCTGCCATATGTGGTCATAGAGGTGTTTTACAGCCTGACGTCTACGTGTTATGCACGTCGTTCGGAGGTGGTGAGCATCTTGTGTTTTGCATTTGGGTCATGAACATCTTGTGTCCGCCGCTGCCGCAAGCCGCCACCAAGCGCGTGCTGGGAAGGGCCGCGCCGTAGCGAGCCGCACATTTTGTGAGGCTCCAACATGGGAGACCGTGTGGCCCTTAGCTGCAGGGCTTCAACAAGTGAAAATGCCCTGACTCATGCGTGTAATAGTGGTGTGTGTGTGTGTGTGGGTGTGGGTGTGGGTGTGGGTGTGGGTGTGGGTGTGCGTGTGTGCGCGTGCGTGTGCGTGTGCGTGTGTGCGTGTGTGCCTGCGTGTGCCTGCGGTGTGTGTGTGTGTGTGTGTG